GTTTTTGCTATAGGGCGCGTGTGCTTGCCAGACAGAGAGACAGAAAGCGAGAAATCATCCCCCAGGGGGGATGGCCACGCCACAATCCCTTCTCCTCCATTCTCCTCTCGGGATCTTGGGCACGCATGCACACATGCCTGGCGTGAGTTGAAGCCCCGGGGTCCAGGACGCGAACCGCGGTCGACAACATGGGAGTCTAGCGACATAGCCATTACGCTAACTGCTGGTCCCGGCCGCTAGATTCTTTTGAATGAGGCATATCTTGCACATTTTTGTTCCTGTCGTTCCTCCTTAAAGAGCAGTGTTTTCTTTCCATTCCTCTTGCATGCTCATAATTCCCTTGCTCTGCTTTGACCCTCGAGCAGGCCGTGTATTCCCGTGTGGCCCGCATATGTAAAAACGACATGGGTGGCTCCCAGCGGGTACTGGAAAAACACTGGACTTCATTTCTGAAGGCTCGGCTGAACTGTTCTGTCCCTGGAGATTCGTTTTTCTACTTTGATGTTCTGCAGTCCATTACAGACATAATACAAATCAATGGCATCCCCACTGTGGTCGGGGTGTTTACCACACAGCTCAACAGGTGAGCACATCTCCCAGCACTTCAAAAGATGCCCTTAGCTTGCCTGTCAGAACCCAGAGCAGCCCCTTGTCACCAGACTCTTTCTCATCAGTTTCTCCTCTTTCAGCATTCCTGGGTCAGCCGTCTGTGCATTTAGCATGGATGACATTGAAAAAGTATTCAAAGGACGATTTAAAGAACAGAAAACTCCAGATTCTGTGTGGACTGCAGTCCCTGAAGACAAAGTACCAAAGCCAAGGTAAAGGAAAAAAGTCAAAAAGGGTCTGTTCTTGAACAAAACCTTCGGGCGATTGGCAACATCTACCCTGAGAAAGCAGCTGGGCCCACCTGCTACGCCAGGAAGGGCCGGCACCCCCGGCTTGGGAATCAGGGGAGCCCACTGAATTCAGAGAAGTTGCCCCCTTCTTCTAGCTTCACTCATTGTCCATCTCCTCTTTATCTCTTCTTTGCGAATGTATGTATTCCATAGACACAATTTCTGGGGAAGGAGGGTAAACGAGCCCTGTTTTTGTTTCAGGCCTGGCTGTTGTGCAAAACATGGGCTTGCAGAAGCTTATAAAACCTCCATCGATTTCCCGGATGAAACCTTGTCTTTCATCAAATCCCATCCCCTGATGGATTCAGCCGTGCCCCCCATAGCTGACGAGCCCTGGTTCACAAAGACACGGGTCAGGTGAGCTTGTGTGGGAAACAGTGGCCCACCGCAGCCAACGTGCAGGCTTCCTGTTGACCTCCCGCTTCTGACGCACACCTCCTCCGCTAGGTACAGACTGACGGCCATCGCAGTAGACCGCTCTGCCGGGCCCCACCAGAACCACACCGTCATCTTCGTTGGCTCTGAAGCTGGTGTGGTGCTTAAAGTTTTGGCAAAGACCAGTCCTTTCTCTCTGAATGACAGCGTTTTACTGGAAGAGATTGAAGCTTACAATCATGCAAAGTAGGTATATTTTACGAGAACGCTCTTTAGCACTGCTCAAAAATTTCCGGTGTGTATTTCATCTAGTCATTTCCTTTCAGCCCTCTAAATTAGCAGTGGTTTGGCATATTAGGGTTTATTTGTCTGTTTTTTGTTTTTTGGGGTTTTTTTCATACTGCAATAAATCCAGTTTTATTCCAGGGTCTACTAGGACCACAGGGCAAAAAGCTGATAGTTTTAAAATAATTCAGCCCTTATTTTTCACCTGTGGAAAATGCAAATATTCTTACATGACACCCCTACCTCACAAACATATTGCAAGACACTACAGCCAACAGTCAGCTGCAAGCACATACACATACACACACACACACACACACACACACACACACACACAGAATACAATTCTAGTTACATATTTTCTTCCAACCATTGATACATAAGAGGTTATTTGGTCTATTAAAACAAATAAGAAATAGGTGAGAAAAATGGAGTACTACTGACTAAGAAGAGATCCAGAAACATCTAGCATGAAAGATTTCAATGCATTAAAATATTATCCTTTTCATTCCCTATCGTCTAGCATGGCCTTCACAAATGCAATTCCCTGTGATCACCATAACCAGAAAGCAATCTCTAAAATCCCTTTGTCTGGACCGAAATTTAACCTCCCTCCCCTAAGTAGAGAGGGAAAAGATAAAAAGTCACATAATTATTATTTCTGAGGCAGTGTACTTGCCTGATTTGCTCCCAACAATATTCCTTAAGATTTCTCTTCAGCAACATCTTAGTCATTGCAAAACCAAAGCATACTTGCCTTGTATGGTGAGTGTAACTTTTGACCAACTAATTGGTTTCAAACTATATCCTATAAATACAGGTGCAACGCTGAGAATGAGGAAGACAAAAAGGTCATCTCGTTACAGTTGGATAAAGACCACCATGCTTTATTCGTGGCGTTCTCTAGCTGCGTTATCCGCATCCCACTCAGTCGCTGTGAACGTTATGGGTCCTGTAAAAAGTAAGCTCTCATTTCTTTACTTTGGGTCTTGCGGCTTCAAAACCTTTGATGACACGAAAATCCAAGTTATGTCTCGTGTGGTTCTCCGCAGGTCTTGTATTGCATCTCGTGACCCGTATTGTGGCTGGTTAAGCCAGGGAGCCTGTGGCAGGGTGACCCCTGGGATGCTGTAAGTATACTTGGTTACATGAACCAGGGTGAACTGTCCTCCCCAGGGTCTTTAAAGCTAGAAATTTTAGAAAACTTCTGATTACTGTTCTTTTGTGTGTGTGTGTGTGTGTGTGTGTGTGTGTGTGTGTTTGTGTGTGTTGATATGAGAAAATAAGAAAAAGAAAGAAAATCGAGAGCTATGAGAAGGAAGTGAGATGATAGACATTATATTATTGGGTTGTTGGAAAAGTCATGGTGCATCTTTGTCTAGAAAAACATAGAAAAACATGCATGACGTCACCAACAATATAATATTTAAAGAAAATGAATGGAGAGAGAAAACATCCTCTCCTACTCTCTTGAACAGTCTAGAAAATTTGTAATGGAAGTCATCATTTTAGAAGTCATCATTCAAGTTACCGTTGAAATGTGGATATTTGTTCTCTCTGCCCATTCTTACTAATCAGTCTGTGTTCTTGGTTCTGCCCTGGTTGTCACTTGGGTCCCTATGAAGGCTGTTAACCGAAGACTTCTTTGCTTTCCATAACCACAGTGCTGGAGGGTATGAGCAGGACACGGAGTTCGGCAGCACGGCCCACCTAGGGGACTGCCACGGTAAGCAGAGTCTCCAGTTCCCTTCTGCTGCTTCTTTTTGACAACATTTGCACGTGAACATTATTTTACAATCAGCCTTTTTAATGACTCGGGACACCTCCCACCTAGCATTTAACTTAAACTTCGCAAAAGCTGAGCTGTTTGGTCATGGGGATACATTAGAAAAGAATCTTTTTATTTTTTTTTTCTTTTCCTTCACCATTTACAATTTTGTAGGAAATCTAGAGAAAGATAGTCTAACCAGTAGGTTAATCTTTTCATTTACAGTCTTTTCTTTTGACTTTTTTAGTTAATTGGAATTCATAAATTTTTTGCTTTCTTTGGGTTACTTTTCACTGATTACTTGTTCCTTTAATTCTTTTAGAAATTTTGCCTACTTCAACTACACCAGATTACAAAATATTTGGCGGTCCAACATCTGGTTAGTTTTTTTTAATTTTTTTGAATTAACAACCTTTTCTTTCCTTCAGTTCAGCATTTTCAGCCCCTTCTCCCCTCCTTTTGCGCAGTTTGGCAGCCTTCATTTTTCTGCTTGGACTCATAATCCCACTGATGGTACCGAAAGACTTTTTCTTACTCAGCACTTCACCCTCCGTGTAGCATGTTAACAGTTCATCATTGACCAAGGCACATCCTTTAAGCAAAGTCAAATGGGTTAACATAGACTGCATTCCAGCTGCACGCACGCCCCCCCAGCTTCCTTCTTTCTCACCCCTGTGCATTGTGAACGTTCCTCCGGCCATCAATATGTAATGGATGGCCGAGTTTCATTATTCTCCCCTTCTCTCCTCACCTTCCCTAAGACCTAATGAACAAATACACATTTCCCAAAAATGTGTATTTCTACTAAGTTTGAGAGCTCTTTTTGGAATGGTTTGCAGTAATGGTGGGAGTCTTTGAATGTTGTGGTCTCAGTGACGGGAACAGTCGAAAGAAGCGGGTTTGGATGTATTACGATGGTCCGTGGGTTCTCCACACCCCTCTGTCTGCATCTGGTTTGGCGCCTTCACCTGTGACTGTCGCATCAGTCTGAGTTGGAGTCTCCGAGGTTTTAGCCTAGAAGCGTGTGCTTACATTTTGAAGGAAGATGTACCTGGCGGAAATTGGTAATAGCCATGCTAACAGGTTAAGCTATAACCTGGCCAGTGGCGGTTCCTAAAACTCACCAGCAGTTTAATCCCTCAGGGGACAGGAAAGGATGGCAGCTCTTACGTATTGGGACATTCTCACTTAGTGTAAATGCCATTGCTTTTGCATGAGTTGCTGCTAACTCTTTAGAAGAAGCTCCTAAGGCATTTTGGAGGGCACCAGCCAGGTCCGTCCCTGTGTTTGTGCTTTATTGTAGACGAAGGCTGTCAGTGCAGTGGACAATCCGAATGGGGAGGAGGCCCGGGGAAGGCAGAACCACCTCTTACGCAGAGCTAGTTTATCAGGTCCAAAAGGAAGGGTTTCCAGAGAATTAACCAGGGGTTTTCTGATGAAGTTACGTCGTGGCTTCCCCAGTCTATAACAGTCTATAAACGTGCTTTGTAAAACACACACAGAAAGAAATGAAATGATGTCTCACAAAAGGATGAGAAAACAGCAATTAATCTGCATTGGGATTTGTATTTCCGTTTCCATGAGTCTCTTTAATAATCACAGGGGCTTTCGGCAGGAATGTTTTGAGTGTCTTTCATTTTGAAATCTGCTTGATACGTCTCTACCGTTCCTTTTTATTCTTCCCATACAAGGAAGGGATTTGATATAGTCTCCTCAGATGTGTTTTTTTTTTTTTTTTTAACAAAATCCTAGAACAAGGCTTTTTCATAAAATTTACTTAAACTTCGCCTAAAAATGCAGCAGATCAGAAACATCCGACACTGCCCTTGTTAATATAAAAATCTGTTTGCCACCACAGACATGGAGGTATCTTCAACTTCTGTTACCACAATGGCAAGTATCCCAGAAATTACACCTAAAGTGATTGATACCTGGAGACCTAAACTGACGAGCTCCCGGAAATTTGTAGTTCAAGATGACCCAAACACTTCTGATTTTACTGGTCCTTTATCAGGTATCCCAAAGGGTAAGGCCTCACCAGGGAACTCATCTCTTACTGAGCGGAAACCTGATTCCTAATACCTCTGAGGAGTGCGTGGCTCTCCAGAGGTGTATCTAAATGGAGCTGCTGTTGTTACCTCCACCACCACTGGCCACGGTCTCTCCGGTTTGGTGTGGTGCTATCTGAGTGCATTCCTGAAAAGATGAAAGAGGTAGAAAGCAGTTCAAGAAAGGGTGGTGAAGCAGCCACTCAGACAGTCTAATCTGTGTTGATTTCTGTCTGAAGACGCTGAGAGCGTGCTGGATAGCAGAGAATTTCAAGGGTCACCCCAGCAACATCAAAAAACAAAATTCATTAATTGCCCAAATCCTCATATATCAGATGTTTTGGCTAGGAGCCTTTCCCAGCCTCTTGTTTAGCTGCGATTCAAAATGCAGTATGAGAAAAGATATGTGAGGTAGGTGCCAAGTCGCTTAAATGCCACAAGCAATAAGACATAACAGAGTGCTTGTCCATAACTATCATTTTCAACCCGTCATAGAAGCAGGTATAAAAGAGCTGCCTGTTGAGGTAGCTTATTAGATATATTACACTGGATAAAAATCTATTTTTTCGTGCTTACTAAACTATGGTATCAGGTTTCCAATCAGTTTTTATGGCAGTGCATTGTCATTTATGATTTACATCTGTTGATGCTGGTTTTATGTGTGTTCATTGTAAACAGTTTTATAATCATTCTTCTTCCTGGTTTTGCTCTCTTTTTTAATGGCTTTTCTTTCTTTGTCTTTCACAATGCCACTGAATTCCATAACCCTGAACACTGATTAAAAACAACTAATGTTCAAAGCCCTTAGTACTAACCTTCAGCAACAGGAGCTTCAAAATCACTCTGACTTTCCTTATTCTGGGATAGCTGTGTTTATAGCACGTAACAGATTTGGATACCTCTTAAACTAACATTTCTTTGATTGACTGTTAGATGTCTGTGGTTGCATAAAAATTCCAATAATTACAAACTAATTCGCTCTTCTTCTAGGTTTAATTTAAATAGTTCTCAAGTATCTCCTGATAATTTAATAATGTTTCCTAACTAATACATAGTATATTTCCTTAAACTGTCTGGATTTCTACCGTAACAGGTAATTCAAGAGTGCTTCACTCCAAGATGGAATTTGAGGGGGTGGGGAGTAGAGGAAGGAAATCCTAAAGCCCGTATATGTAGCTAACAATGACCACGAAGATCCTTTTAGTGTGTGAAAAAAGTATATGTTTTTATTCTAGTTAGGTTAGTATAATTGTATTAGCATAATTATTTTAGTGTAATACATATTTATGTTAATTCATCCATTTCCCTAATTCCAGCAGCTACCCTTTAATCCTGATTTATGAATTAGGAGAAAATCATGAGACAAAACATTTTCTGAGTTTCAGATTGGCTGTATAGAAAATATACATCTTCTAATTCTGTTTTTTAGATAAAAGCTCTTAAAATTTCTAAGGTTGTGTAATGACTGAGATCGGGAGGAAAAAGACAGAAAAATGCAGAGCCATAGGAGATTAGCATTATCCTGCCATTTGCAGCAGTTGTTTTCTCTGGGGTCCTATTGTGATTAAAGAGAGAAATGTATTCGGAATTTTTGGCGTCTACCTGCCCCTCCCAGCTAAGCATACGGACCATGTGAAGAAGGTAGTGTTGGCCACTGTGTTTCATTTTGTTTTCAGAAAGCACCTCAGTCAAACTTGTCCTGTGTGTCTATTTCAGGAGTCCGCTGGGAAGTTCAGTCTGGAGAGTCCAATCAGATGGTCCACATGAATGTCCTCATCACCTGTGTCTTTGCCGCTTTCGTTCTGGGCGCGTTCATCGCAGGAGTGGCAGTATACTGCTATCGGGACATGTTTGTTCGGAAAAACAGAAAGATCCATAAAGATGCAGAATCTGCCCAGTCATGCACCGACTCCAGTGGAAGTTTTGCCAAACTGAATGGTCTTTTTGACAGCCCAGTCAAGGAATACCAACAGAACATTGATTCCCCTAAACTATACAGTAATCTACTGACCAGTCGGAAAGAGCTGCCTCCCAGTGGAGATACTAAATCCATGGTTGTGGACCATCGGGGACAACCGCCAGAGCTGGCTGCTCTCCCCACACCTGAGTCCACACCTGTGCTTCACCAAAAGACCCTGCAGGCCATGAAAAGCCACTCCGAGAAGGCCCATGGCCACGGGGCTTCCAGGAAAGAAACTCCCCAGTTTTTCCCTTCCAGTCCTCCACCTCATTCCCCATTAAGTCACGGGCACATCCCCAGTGCCATCGTTCTTCCGAATGCTACCCATGACTATAACACGTCTTTCTCTAACTCCAATGCCCACAAAGCTGAAAAGAAGCTACAGCATCTTGATCACCCTCTTACAAAGTCATCTAGTAAGAGAGATCACCGGCGTTCTGTGGATTCCAGAAATACCCTCAATGATCTCCTGAAGCATCTAAATGACCCAAATAGTAACCCCAAAGCCATCATGGGAGACATCCAAATGGCCCACCAGACCCTAATGCTGGATCCTGTGGGACCTATGTCTGAGGTCCCACCGAAAGTCCCTAACCGGGAGGCATCGCTATACTCCCCTCCTTCAACTCTCCCCCGAAATAGCCCAACCAAGAGAGTGGATGTTCCCACCACTCCTGGAGTCCCAATGACTTCCCTGGAAAGACAAAGGGGTTATCACAAAAACTCCTCCCAGAGGCACTCTATATCTGCTATGCCTAAAAACTTAAACTCACCAAATGGTGTTTTGTTATCTAGACAGCCTGGCATGAACCGAGGAGGATACATGCCCACCCCCACGGGGGCGAAGGTAGACTATATTCAGGGAACACCCGTGAGTGTTCATCTGCAGCCTTCCCTCTCCAGACAGAGCAGCTACACCAGTAATGGCACCCTCCCTAGGACGGGACTAAAGAGGACACCGTCCTTAAAACCTGATGTGCCACCAAAGCCTTCCTTTGTTCCTCAGACCACATCTGTCAGACCACTGAACAAATACACTTACTAGGCCTCGAGTGTGCTATCCCGTGTGGCTTTATCCTGTCCATGTTGTTGAGAGGATTATGTTGTGAGGGTACCTTAAGACAAGAGACGTGCTTGTATTTTAAGAGAACCACGTGGCCAAAGAAACTCTTTCTAACTTTGGCAACAGCAGAACTTGCCACATGTCGCTACGCAGCAAGGCTTCTGTGTACTTGCCTGAAAACGAAGGAAGGTGCTGGTCATTCCATTTCTTTTGTTGGACGCTAAAGAGGTGTGCAGCTCCGAGGGGCTCCCTTACCAGGATAAGGAGCTGGTTCAGTACTCAGAAGAATCTGTGAACAAATACTTGAAAATGGGTTCAATTTAGACTGCCATTATGTGTGGTCTTCCCATTAAATGTGAACATTTTAATATGTATGCATTCACCTTGCCTCTTGCACAAATGTCAAAAAAAAAAAAAAAAGATGGTAATGTCTAAAAAAAAAAAAAAAAAAAAAAACTTTAAGATACACAC